AGAATACTACTCTATATCCCACTGGAATATCATATACTTGTCCCAGAAAACTACATCTCACTGGAATATCATAAACCTGTCACAGAATAATACTCTATATCTCATTGGAATATCATAAACCTGACCCAGAATACTACTCTATATCTCACTGGAATATCATACCAAGTGTATGTAATGATGCCTCATCTGGTAACATTATTCTGAAAATAGGGAAACAGATGTCACTAGTGTGACACAGTAGACAAGCAAGTTACCTTGATACTATGATATGTATATACATGTAGTCTAGGTTCCAGTTGACTGATCATTAAGATCCTGTTAATGAAACTCCTCTGACAATATCAAGTGTTCAATACTGCAGCAACGTTTCTCCTGCCCCAATTTGCAACCCCTTCCCACTTCGCATTCCTGAAAGACAGCTAACATTGACAGGCAAAGGATACGTCCAAACCAGAATGTAGGTCTGAAAAATAATGTTAAGGATAAATGTAAAGCATTGAAATAGTAGTGTATTTTTGGATCTGTATTAAAAAAGATGTTATTATTTATCGTTATATATTAAGAATATTATGGGTCATGGGAAATTGTAATACATGTGCTGCTGTGGATTGCTGATGTATCGAATGAATTTCTAAAAATTTGGACAGTTTTGCAAAATATTGATCATGATCTTCCATTCGTCTTTTTCAACTTCAACTAGAACACTGACAGGTCAGTAAGGGCCCCATCTTGTGGCAATATATCCCCCCCATAATCATCAAGAAGCAATCTGCCCATATAGCTGAGCTTGACGTTTGACATTTGGACTTCAAAAAGAATCGCAAGGAAGCAAAATATACTTTTTACATGTACTATGATGCGAGTCTTGTTTCCTTCTACCTCCATATTTGCTGGGCTAACAGAAATGTAAATACCAGTTCAATACTCATTTGTTAGCTTTGATTTGTTTTATTTCACCTTATATACCTCCTCCATTAAGAGCCAGGGTCAAAGTCAGAGATCCACTTTGTCTTTGTCCTTTGGACCCAAATGACCTTGACCATTAACCCAGTGACCCTGATATTTGGTCAGTTGACTTATTCTTTAATTCCGACCAAATTTGCTTCTTAGTATGATAACAAAATGTTTATCAGTGAAAAACACAAAAATTGACCTTGACCCTTTGGACCACGTAACCTGGACCTAAGGTCAGTTGACTCTGTGTTAAGTTCTGAACAACATTGCTTCATAATGTCATAACAAAATGTTCCATCAAGGAAAAGGTACAAAATTTAACCTTCACCTTTGACCCAGTGACCTTGACCTTTGGTCAATTGACTCCTTGTTTAATTCTGAGCAACATTGCTTCAAAGTGTCATAGCGAAATGTTTACCAGTGAAAAGATACAAAATTGAACCTTGACCTTTGACCCGATGACATTGACTTTTGGTCAATTGACTCCTTGTTCAATTCTGATCAACTTTGCTTCATAATGTCATAACAAAATGTTTATCAGTGAAAAGATGTAAAATTTTACCTTGACCTATGAACCTGATGACCTTGACCTTTGACCTTGACTTTTTATCTCAATGTGTATTTTTGTGAACTGAACATCTTGACCAAGTTTCATGTACATCGGTCAATAAATACTAAGTTATCAGTCAAGAACAAAATTTGTGGACAGACAGACAGACAGACAGACAGACAGAGTGATTACTATAGGGCCCTAATAATGATATCAATGGTGTTTCCTTGAAATTAAATCCTGTGATTTTGTGGACTGATAGCTGAGAGAACTGAGACTGGACAACTTCCTTGAGACATTTAGGGTATTCAACGATCTAAGTTTAGATAAACTAGGTTTTAATATATTACTTTTTGGTAATACATGCATAACAGAAGTTTTTTCAATTCCTCAGCTAAGAATCCAATCCAGGACCTCTGGCCTACTATTCTAATGTTCTACAGACTGAGCTCAGAGAAATTCTCCCTAGCCAGTAAGTTGGATGTTAATAGTGTGTTTTCAGGTGCAAAAACTGTAAACATGAACCGTAATTATATATAAGATGAACTTCATTTATTCTGAAGTTATTACTGGTATATTTTGTTGAGGTATTGCTTTTTCACTAAATTAGCGGCCTGAAAAAATATGCAATATATATATATATGAGCCCAGTGAAACAGTTGCTCTTTGATAGAGAGTTACTCCTTGTCCAATTGCTTCAGACCATCAGTCCTGACAGAATTTTAATCTGTTTCAAATATTTATATGAGTCTTGTAAAATTTTCTTGCTGTCAGAATTAATTCTATTTCAAAAGAGACCATAATAATGAAATTAATCAGCATTGATAAAGGATACAAATAGTCCACCAAGAAGTCCATTTATAAAAAGGCCTCGTCTGTTCACAAAGTATTTGTGCCAAGCTGATCCTGCCTTGAAATACAGCATAACCTGTAACAGAGAACAGACAAATGGAGTGTTGGATTTCATGTTTCATGTTATAGTTGACATACAGATATTGATAAATTCCACTAGTCTCACCTATAATTTACTTTTCCAATTCATTTTAGATGTAACACAGCATTTGATTGAACAATCAAAATAAAAAAATAAAAAAAATAAAAATAGAATTTTAAAAGCAAATCTTTTTTATTTCCATATGGTGGATGCTTGATATACTTACTGATAAGAGAATGGATGTGACAAAGTAAAATGCGAAGCCATAGAGTGCGGTTAGTCCGAGAATACCTGCGGCAGCTCCTGACAGAGCAGACATGGAAGTCCTACAGTACTCCAGTACAAAGGCATTCCCTCGCATGGCCAGCTCACTGTATGCTGTCACATTGTCTGAAAGCATCAAATTGTTTATCTATTTCAGAAGCAGACTCCAATTTCATCATCCTCATATTGAACCTTTGAAATCAGCGGAATTCTCTCGTTCAAATGGAATCCAGGTGATGTCTCATTCATGAAACAAGAGGCCCATGGGCCTAAACGGTCACCTGAGTCCTACAGTATTTATTTTTGTTGTTGAAATATGTACCAATTTGAGTACAAAATAGTTAAGTATAACGTTAACTTAAGTTTGTCAGGACCATGAGCTGATCATTCCTAGACGGAGTTTCAGTTAAATCGGCCTATTAGAACTTGTTTTTAAGTTTGAAATACTTTTTTCAAAATGGCGGCCGCGGTGGCCATATTCGATTTCTGATCAACCCGAAAAATAACAACACTTTGTCAGGACCATGAGTCGATCATTCCTACAAAGTTTCAGTTCAATCGGCCCAGTAGAACTTGACTTTAAGTTTGAAATAGTTTTTCAAAATGGCGGCCGTGTCGGCCATATTGGATTTCTGATCGACCCGAAAAATAACAACACTTTGTCAGGATAATGAGTTGATCATTCCTACCAGGTTTCAGTTCAATCGGCCCAGCAGAACTTGACTGTAAGTTTGAAATAGTTTTTCAAAATGGCGGCCATATTGGATTTCTGATCGACCCGAACACTTGAAATTGGTCAGGGAGATATCAGTAACCTTCCCATGAAATATTAATGAAATCCCTTTGCCAGTATTTCAGCTTAAGTTGAAAATGTAAAATGTTAACGGACGAAGTATGAATGTCACTGTAATAGCAAAACTAACACTAACCTCTATACATGTAGGTAAGGACATGAATCCTTGTGACTGAAACTGAAGTGATTATTTTCTGACTTGACCACTCATTGTTCACCTTCATTTGTTTTTTAATATAAACTTTATTTATTTTACAGCAATTATGAAACAAGTTATTTCAACTTATATTAATCACTCTAGATCTTGTTGGCCCACAGGTGGTCTTAGTGTAGGAGGAAACGGGAGAAAACCCATGTGGTCGGACAGGTGACCCCAAACCTTTTCACATCCGATCGGGGAATCGAACCCTGGCCGTCTTGGTGAAAGACAACTGTGCGATCCACTGCAACACCCTACCACCCATATCATATCATTGTTATGAAGACACCACTTTCATAGTATTCAATTTTTCTTTCATTTCATGACTCACCAGCTTTTTCCCCATTTTATCAATGTGTACTAGATAATCATGATCAGGCATAACTCGTCTGTTTACATTTTGTCCTATATATGTGGATATAGACCACATAACAAGATTTTCCAGTTTATCAAGTGTTGCTCTCGAGATTCTCTTGTGTAGGCCATTAACTGAAGATGTACCTATGTCTCATGTCTTAAAAGTCGACAGTGATGTCAAAGAGATAAAATAAGAGAATGCTACTGCTGCTGTGTAAACACAGGCCTACTAATTAAATACATTTCAAGGGATGGGAAGGTTAACAGCTGGATTTATAGATTCCTCACTGATAGGACACAATCTGTCGTCCTAGAGGGTGGAAAGTCTGAGTAGGTCCCGGTTGAGTCAGTTGTCCCTAGGGGTCTGTCCTTACACCGAGCTCTGTTTTTATACATAAACGACAGCCCTGTTGGTCTCTCATCATTGATTTCCCTTTGACAGGTGACACCATAGTGTACCTAACTGTTACTTGCATTGACAATTGGACTTCAAAAAGAATTGCAAGGAAGCAAAATATTCATTTTACATGTACTATAATGTGAGTCTTGTTTCCTTCCACCTCCATATTTGCTGGGCTAACAGAAATGTAAATACCAGTGCAATACTCATTTGTTAGCTTTGATTTGTTTTACTTCACCTTATATACCTCCTCCATCAAGAGCCAGGGTCAAAGTCAGAGATCCACTTTGTCTTTGACCTTTGGACACAAATGATCTTGACCATTTACCCAGTGACCCTGATCTTTGGTCAGTTGTCTTATTCTTTAATTCCGACCAACTTTGCTCCTTGATATCATAACAAAATGTTCATCAGTGAAAATTACAAAACTTGACCTTGACCCTTTGGACCCCGTAACCTGGACCTAAGGTCAGTTGACTCTGTTAAGTTCTGAACAACATTGCTTGATAATGTCATAACAAAATGTTCATCAGGGAAAAGGTACAAAATTTAACCTTGACCTTTGACCTAATGACCTTGACCTTTAGTCAATTGAATCCTTGTTAAATTCTGATCAACTTTGCTTCATCATGTCATAACAAAATGTTCATCAGTGAAAAGATGCAAAACTGACCTTGACCGTTGAATCTAATAACCTTGACCTTTGACCTTGACTTTTTACCTCAGTGTGTCTCTTTGTTTAATTCCGAACAACTTTGCTTCATAATGTCATAGCGAAATTTTGTTTACCAGTGAAAAGGTACAAAATTTGACCTTGACCCGATGACCTTGACCTTTGGTCAGTTGACTCCTTGTTTAATTCTGATCAACTTTGCTCCATAATGTCATAACAAAATGTTCATCTGTGAAAAGATGTAAAATTTGACCTTGACCTTTGACCTTTGACTTTTTATCTCAATGTGTATTTTTGTGAACTGAACATCTTGACTAAGTTTCATGTACATCTGTCACTAAATACCAAAGTTATCAGCCAGGAACATAATTTGTGGACAGACAGACACACTGACAGAGTGATTTCTATAGGGCACCCGTATATCCGATACGGGAAGAAAAAGGAAAACAGTTTTTCACCCAGATAAATGTTCTGTCCTCATGATCTGTTGCAACAAATCTCCGAGTATCTAATTTAAACTCTTCAACATGTTGGATTGACACAGCTAAAGGAGTCGCAATACAACATCACAGGGAAAGTGAGTCCTATATATAAACAACATCACATGGAAAGGGAGTCCTATATAAACAACATCACATGGAAAGGGAGTCCTATATAAACAACACCACAGGGAAAGGGAGTCCAATATATACAACATCACGGGGAAATGGAGTCCTATATAAACAACATCACAGGGAAAGGGAGTCCTATATATACAACATCACGGGGAAAGGGAGTCCAATATATACAACATCACGGGGAAATGGAGTCCAATAAAAACAACATCACGGGGAAAGGGAGTCCTATATAAACAACATCATGGGGGAAAGGGAGTCCTATATAAACAACATCACATGGAAAGGGAGTCCTATATAAACAACATCACATGGAAAGGGAGTCCTATATAAACAACACCACAGGGAAAGGGAGTCCAATATATACAACATCACGGGGAAATGGAGTCCTATATAAACAACATCACAGGGAAAGGGAGTCCTATATATACAACATCACGGGGAAAGGGAGTCCAATATATACAACATCACGGGGAAATGGAGTCCAATAAAAACAACATCACAGGGAAAGGGAGTCCTATATAAACAACATCATGGGGGAAAGGGAGTCCTATATAAACAACATCACGGGGGGAAAGGGAGTCCTATATAAACAACATCACAGGGAAAGGGAGTCCTATATATACAACATCACGGGGAAAGGGAGTCCAATATTAACAACATCACAGGGAAAGGGAGTCCAATATAAACAACATCATAGGGAAAGGGAGTCCTATATAAACAACACCACAGGGAAAGGGAGTCCAATATATACAACATCACAGGGAAAGGGAGTCCTATATAAACAACATCACGGGGAAATGGAGTCCTATATAAACAACATCACGGGGAAAGGGAGTCCAATATATACAACATCACGGGGAAAGGGAGTCCTATATTAACAACATCACAGGGAAAGGGAGTCCAATATAAACAACATCACAGGAAAAGGGAGTCCTATATAAACAACATCACATGGAAAGGGAGTCCTATATAAACCACATCACTGGGAAAGGGAGTCCAATATAAACAACATCACAGGTAAAGGGAGTCCTATATTAACAATATCACAGGGAAAGGGAGTCCAATATAAACAACATCACGGGTAAAGGGAGTCCTATATAAACCACATCACTGGGAAAGTGAGTCCTATATAAACAACATCACGGGTAAAGGGAGTCCTATATTAACAATATCACAGGGAAAGGGAGTCCAATATAAACAACATCACAGGTAAAGGGAGTCCTATATAAAGAATATCACTGGGAAAGGGAGTCCTATATAAACAACATCACGGGTAAAGGGAGTCCTATATAAACAACATCACAGGGAAAGTGAGTCCTATTTAAACAACATCACAGGGAAAGTGAGTCCTATTTAAACAACATCACAGGTAAAGTGAGTCCTATATAAACAACTTCATGGGGAAAGGGAGTCCTATATATACAACATCACAGGGAAAGGGAGTCCTATATAAACAACATCACATGGAAAGGGAGTCCTATATATACAACACCACAGGGAAAGTGAGTCCTATTTAAACAACATCACAGGGAAAGTGAGTCCTATATAAACAACATCTTAGGGAAAGGAAGTCCTATATAAACAACATCACATGGAAAGGGAGTCCTATATAAACAACATCTTAGGGAAAGGGAGTCCTATATAAACAACATCACAGGGAAAGGGAGTCCTATATAAACAACATCACACGGAAAGGGAGTCCAATATTAACAACATCACTGGAAAGCTTATATACTAGCCTTCCTGAAAAGAAACGTAAAAATAAATGCCAGGAGAATTAAAGAACAAGCTCATAAATCGCTCATATGTCCGTCACATGAATACTCATACCTGTCTTGGAACCCCATCTAATATATATATATAAATATAACATAAACAAATTAGAAATGGTGCAAAGAAGGACTGTACGATATCACCAACAGGTGTACCTCTAGGTGTTGGTGACATACTACTAGACCTTGGCTGGAGTGGTGACATTGCTACTAGACCTTAGCTGGAGTGGTGACATATACTACTAGACTTTGGCTGGAGCTGTCTTTCTGGCAGACGTAGAGGTGCACATGTACATCTCGCCTTGATGTACAAAATAACACAGAGTTATCAGATATGTATATGAATGTTTGCAGAATTGACAAAAATAGTATTTTCTTATATATCATAAAAGTAAAATTTCTTTAACTTAATCTTTTAACTCAGAAAACAATTCAAGTTACCCCTGTTTTTTCAGGTATGGGTTCATTTTGAGCAAGGTTTAAATTGTACATGTATTAAGAAATACTGTCCAATACTGTGCATTATTTAATCAGTTATAAATTCTTACAAATATATTCCGAACGCATTTCCGTTAAAAAAAATCAGTTTACAGACGATGGCCAGACGTCTAAAATATCCTTGTGTACTGTCAAACATGTCACGAAGTAACGGGATACAGCTTGATAAAATTGCTGTGCGGAAATACATAACGTGCGGAAGATATTTCCATGTGTTGTATTAAAATTATACTGTTGCAAGAAATCCCATGGGATTCAGTCAGAATAAAAGGAAGGGCAGAACTTCCGGGTGTGATTCCTCCACAGTGTGTTTAGGTAGGACTTGCTCTCATTTAGTGTTTTAACGACAGTTTCCTCCGAGAGATTGTTCTAGGCCAGTAACACTGTAAGTGTTTAGCCTAAAAACATTTACCGGTTCAGACACATTTATATCCGTATACCGATGATTTTGTTATGATATTAGTGAGATATGATAAATAAGATTTAAATGTAATGTCATTATACGAACAACAAACATTAAACAAGCCAAAACCGATACCTTTTCCTTTCCGTTTCGTCTTCACTGCTACACCTGACGCCATCTTGCATTGGATGTAAATAATCTTGATCACGCAAAAGCTTAACATCAACGTTTAGGAAAAGATAAAAATCATTTTGATTAAGGAAGGAGCTATTTTTTCTAATTGGTTACAAAACGGGTCCGTTTTTGTAGTAAATAAAAACCGAAGTATTCATAACCGGTAATTTTACTGTGATTTGTTCTGATTTAACTACATGTATATGTAATTCGCACAATATCCATAGTTAAGGGGAGATAATTTGTCTCAAGATTTAATTAATTGAGAAGTTAATGTTCCTTTCCTGAAAATCAAAACATATCCAAAATGCACAACCGTGCTATGGGCAGCAGAATTGGTGGCTTCTATATGAATTGGTTACTTTTGGGGAGTTTCTTGTTCAGCTCTGTCACCTGTATGTTTCCACACTTTTCTCTGTCACCTCGATCTACTCATCTCCACTTATCTCTGTCTTCTCCTATCTCCACTTTCCTCTGTCACCCCCTATCTCCACTTTCCTCTATCACCCCCTATCTCTACTTTCCTCTGTCACCTCCTATCTCCACTTCCGTTTCCTCTGTCACCTCCTATCTCTACTTTCCTCTGTCACCTCCTATCTCCACTTTCCACTGTCACCTCCTATCTCCACTTTCCTCTGTCATCTCCTTTCTCCACTTTCCTCTGTCATCTCCTATCTCCACTTGACCCCGTCACCTCCTATCTCCACTTTCCTCTGTCACATCCTATCTCCACTTTCCTCTGTCACCTCCTATCTCCGCTTCCGTTTCCTCTGTCACCTCCTATCTCCACTTTCCTCTTTAATCTCCTATCTCCACTTTCCTCTGTCACCTCATATCTCCACTTTCCTCTGTCACTTCCTATCTCCACTTTCCTCTGTCTCCTCCTATCTCCACTTCCGTTTCCTCTGTCACCTCCTACCTCCACTTTCGTCTGTTACATCCTATCTCCACTCCCCTTTCCTCTGTCACCTCTTATCTCCACTTTCCTCTGTCATACCCTATCTCCACTTTCCTCTGTCATCTCCTATCTCCACTTTCCTCTGTCATCTCCTTTCTCAACTTTCCTCTGTCATCTCCTATCTCCACTTTCCTCAGTCACCTCCTATCTCCACTTTCCTCTGTCACATCCTATCTCCACTTTCCTCTGTCACCTCCTATCTCCACTTTCGTCTGTTACATCCTATCTCCACTTCC